TGAGACATCAAGGATGAGTTCATTAAACAAGCACAGAAAACTAAGATTTCAAAGGCAAACAAAATAAGAGCCATGTCCTCTTAGGTGTCCCAGTCTGATAGGGTCAAGGGATCTGAATTCAGGTTGGGGCTTACCCTCTGTTACCTGGGGGAAGCATGTCAGGACCTGGGGAACAGCCAGATAAAGGCAGGAGGTGGTCAGTGCCTCTGCCAAGAGGAAGATGGACACACCTCCAATGCCCTGTATCAGAGATTCAAGGGACAGCTGGATAGTTCCAGCCACCAGTGCCAACAGAAGGAAGGGAAAGGGAGGATGGGGACAAGAGAAAGGTTTAACCCTTTGTGGAGGAGGCTGGAGGATCCAGACAAGAAAGGCAGAACCGGCTAGGGCCCAGGGGCTGGAGGGCAAAGGCTTGATCTAAGTCACAGAATGAGAGTTTCCAGATAAGAGCAAACACTCTGCCCTGGGATAATAAGTTGCAATGCCAAGGAAAGCACGAACAAAGGAAAAGTGATTGGCACCCTGCATGATGCTGACTTTGAGAGGGTGAGATGCATGGTGTCGAGGGAGAGGGAAGAAAGACCAGGTACAGGAAGAAGGGAAAGAGCACAGCCACAGCTGTCCAGCTGTAGGGTGAAGCCAGTGGGCATGGAGAGTGAGGGGCAGAGCCAAGAGAAAATGCAGATGAATCTGATTGGGCCAGAGGTGGCCCAGCAGGAAGGCGCTGAGAGGCAAATGAAAGCCTGTGAGGCTGTGGGAAGATGCAGCCTTCTCTTCCCTGGCCTAGCTGTCCCTACCTACTGCACTCATGCCTCATCCGAGGTCTGCTTCTCCTCCCTCCTAGTACAAGGAGCTGCAGCGCTCTGCCAGCCTGCACGGGACGACCTCCACACCACCAAGATGGAGATCTCTGAGCTAAACTGATAATGCAGAGGCTGCGCCCAGAGATTGATAGCTTGTAGAAGCAGATAGAGCTGAGCTTCCAGGTGTCCTCCCATCCATGCTCCTGCCTCCAGGGGGACTTTGTGCCTGGGCCCCACTCAGCTCATAGAGAGAGATGCCCCCCAGATGAGTGGCCTTCCAGGAATATAAATATGCATTCATCTAGTGCGATGGTTAATATTGTCAACTTGAGTGGCTTGAGGGATGCAAGATAGGCACTATCTTCTGAAGGAGTAAATGGCAAAACCTTGGCTTGCTTTACTTACTCTAGATCCAGAAAAGTTTAGCATTGCAAAGGACCTCAGAGGGCCAGGTGCAGTGGCTCACACCTGCAATCCCAGCACTTCAGGAGGCCGAGGCAGGTGGATCACCTGAGGTCAGGAGTTTGAGACCAGCCTGGCCAACATGGTGAAACCCCGACTCAACTAAAAATACAAAACTTAGCTGGGTGTGGTTGTGGATACCTGTAATCCCAGCTACTCTGGAGGCTGAGGCAGGAGAATAGCTTGAACCCAGGAAGCAGAGGTTGCAGTGAGCAGATTGTGCCAGTGCACTCCATCCTGGGTGACAGAGCAAGACCCTGTCTCAAAAAAAAAAAAAAAAGAAGAAGAAGAAGAAGAAGAAGGAGGAGGAGGAGGAGGAGGAGGGGGGGGGGAAGAAGAGGAGGAAGAAGGAGAAGAAGAAGAAGAAAGAAAGGACCTCAGAACGTCATTTTCTGCATTCTGGCTAAGTCTCAAGTTATCCAAGGCAGACAGAAATCAATCTTACTTGTAAAGATAGTGAAGCTCCAACCTCCTTTCCATTAAATCCACTTTGGGGAATTTTTTCATATTTTCAACCTAAAGTCCATAGAAGATCTTACTGCATCCTCTATGAACAATGTCACACACATTCTCCTTGCCGCTTGGCAGTGCACCATGCCCCAAGCAGCCATCGCCTGCTAATGCCAAGCAGCATGGGGGACTGGCACCAAGAATAAGCTGGTGGAGCTGGAGACAGCCCTGCAGAAGGCCAAGCAGGACGTGGCATGGCAGCTGCGCAGGTACCAGAGGCCAATATATGTCAAGCTGGCCCCGGACATCAACATCGCCACCTACAGGAAGCTGCTAGAGGGCTTGGAGAGCAGGTGGGCCACCCTCTCATCCCACTACAACCCAAGCAGATGCACCAGACCACGACAGCAATGCCACAGAGGCCCCAGGAGCCCCACAATGTCAGCCCTCCAGGTAGAAGCTCCCAGGTGAGAAACAGGGTTAAAATGCAACTGCTCCCTTAAAGGCATCCTGTAGTCTCAGCCCCTCCCACAGCTGTTGGAATTGGGACAAGCCTCAAGGGCTCCGGAATTGCCCTACAAGCTGACGATCTCGAGCTACCTCTCTGCCATAGCTCCCTCTTCTCATTTTTATCTGTATTTTTGACCTGATCTCTCTCCCGGATTTCCTTCACAGGTGCACATGAGTTTCCCAAGGCTAAAGAGAGGAGGGGAGGGCTTGCCAAGCACACGTTGGGGCTCTGTGTTGATAACTTTAAATACAAAGAACCCAGGGCCCCTCAACCTCTCAGCGGTCACAGCCTCTCTGAAGAAGGTGTCAGAGCCATGAGCATCTGTGAGTCAATGTCTTGGGATGGTAGAAAGGTGGGGGGCACACTTTTTGGGTGGGTAGAAAGGTGGAAGCTGGGAGCATCACTCATGAGGGCCTGGTGGGTCAAAGACAAACCGGCGGGGGCAGGGATGTCAGGAAGACCCCCTTGGGGGCTCTATGGAGGCCCCTCTCTTCTTGTGCCCTTCTTCCCTGTGAAGTCAAGAGAACTCAAAAGGGGCTCATTCCATGTCATTAAGGAGCCCAACAATGTTCTCCTCACTCTGGCTTAATCTCCATAGAAATTGCGGAGATTAACCTACAGGTGACCCCTCATCCTCAGGGCTGGTCCCAGAAGATCCCGGTGAGGAGAAAAGACTATTCAAACAATCATGGGTGCCCATGCCTGATTTTTCAGCTAGTGCTGGCAGGACCTCAAACTAACACAAATAACAAGAGGCTATTAAACAGATTAAATGTAAAGACCTATATTTAGAATTTAAGCATATTAATCCAACAAATAGAACAGTGACTGATCTGGCTTGGTCTCAACTCACAGGAGGGAGTGCAGTAGGAATGACCTCATCAAGTGACCTTCTACCCACAGTGAATCCAAGGAACCACCCTGCCCTCTGCTCCTGAGCTCTGGTCCTGGGCTCCAGGAGCCCAACGTGGTCACTGAGGCCATCCCCTGGCCTGGACACGGTGTAGAGGCTCTGCTGTGTCTACTACTGCAGTGACCCCTGCCCTCCAGTTCTGCCCACTGTCTCCCTCACCCCCTCTAGTGGGAATCTGCTCTCTGGTTGGGCCTCTGAGTGTCCCCATCAACATTCACACTGTCCTGGGCCCCTCCCCCGGTGGACTCAGCCCGGAGCAGAGTATGATCTCCTTCCCCTGACACTCTGCAATTGGACCCCCTCACCCAACCCTCTGCCTCCCATTGTGGCCTGTGGTCTCGCCTTGAACCCCTCCCCTCCGCACTACTCTGGGTCCTACAGTCAGGACTATAAAAAAGGGGACAGGGAGTGTGAAATGTCACAATTAGACTGAGAATTTCCGAGACTCAGGAAACCTTTGTGTTCAGGTCTCCTAATCCATGGGTTGGAAGGCTGAGGGACAGGGACAGCAGAGCGTGCATGGGCAGCAGATTCCCAAATCCTAACCTAGGCTTCCCTGCTCTGGAGCAGCATGGCAGGGTAAAGTCAGAAGGAACAGGACGGACTCCCAGCTAATCAGTCAGCCATAAGCCATGTGACTTGGGGACACTGCTCTTAACCGCTCTGCTCCCCATTTTCCTGTCTGTGGCACAGTAGCTACCTTATGGTATGATCAGGGAATTTAATGAGACCATGATGTAAAGAGTACATGGTGCTCCGAGCACATAGTAAATGCCCAATAAGTGCGTATTATTATTATTAGCTTGGTTTTGACCTGGTAATAAGTCTTGGTGTGGAAGGTAAAGATCAGTTGGCCATGGCAAGAGTTTCACTGGTTAAACTGTTGGAGGGGAGAAGGAAAGTGAGGTGGGGACTTTAGACATTGCCAAAGATCTGTGTCTGTGACCTGGCTGCTGGAAAGAGAGCCTGAATCCCACATCTGGGATTTCTTGGGAATCTGACAATTCCCAAGGGCAGCAATTCTCCCCAGAGACATCCTCAGGCCAAAGCTGGCTCTGCTGACCTCAGGGACACTCAGGCTGGGTTGGGCGCAAGGGGAAAGGAACAGCCACATGGAAGCTGAGACCCGAAGCTAAAATCATGCCTTTTGGGGGCCCCAGAAGTGTTGGGGAGAGTGTCCCTTTCTCTGCCCTTCTCAAGCACCAGGTCTCTCCTCTTGAGTTCCCTGCAGCCTTTGTGGACTGATGGGCCTTGGAGAGAAGCATCCATGCCTGGAGGCTGTCTACCTTCAAGACCCCCATTCGACAGTGGGTCACTGAGCCAGGGCTCAGGAGGGTCAGTCACGGTCTGGCCTGCTGTAGTGAGGCTTCTCCCACCCCAAAAGCCTTCCTCCCTGGGAACTTCCTGACTCTCCTAGGAGCCCACAGAGGGCATTTGGGCTGGAAAGATCTGCAAAAAACCTAGAAGCAGCCTTGGGGGAATAGCCAGAGTATGCTTAAGCATATGGGGCTTGCCCTCTAATCCCAGGGAAGCCAGAGTGTATCATTCACGGCATGCCTCCCCTCCTATGAAATGACGTAGTCCTAACTCTCCCTCTCCTTGAGGCAAAGCCACTGGATACATGGAACATATCCATCTCGTTGGCCCCTTTCATCACCCCCACAATCAAGGAAGGAGGACAAATAGGATTTTTATAGGGCTCAACAGCACTGACCATTGGCCCCTTCTCTTTGGTCTTTACTACCTTAATTATCCACCTTGCTACTTAGCACTACCAATATCCCAAGCTCATAAACCTGGTTTAATGGTGATGTGAGGTTTGACCCAGCTCAGCCCTCCATCCCCCTACCAGATAAAAGAGGGGAAACTGAGCCATGACTCGATCATCCTGCCCCCTGCTCTTTCCTCCAGGGCCCTGTCTCTCTGCCTGTCTCTCCTGCCATGTCTTACCATTCCTTCCAGCCGGGCTCCAGATGTGGCAGTCAGAGTTTCAGCTCGTACTCGGCTGTCATGCCACGGATGGTCACCCACTATGCAGCCAGCAAGGGGCCATGCCGGCCGGGGGGTGGTGGGCGCCTCCGAGCTCTAGGCTGCCTCAGCTCACAGAGCCTGTGCAACTTGGGCTTCGGGAGGCCCCGGGTAGCCTCCAGGTGTGGAGGTACCCTGCCTGGCTTTGGGTACCGACTGGGGGCCACCTGTGGGCCTTCTGCCTGCATCACCCCTGTAACCATCAATGAGAACCTGCTGGTCCCCCTGGCACTGGAGATCGACCCGACCGTGCAGAGGGTGAAGAGGGATGAGAAGGAGCAGATCAAGTGCCTCAATAACCGCTTCGCATCCTTCATCAACAAGGTAAGGGGTCCTCGGCCCAGGGCCGCAGGAGGAGACCCACGGCAGGTCTGGGGTCTGGTCTTGTTCTGGTCCAAGGGAACCAGGAGGAGACCGACAGTGAGGAAGCCTCACTTCATCCAGTGGCCTCTCTCACATTCCACGGCCACCAGCCTTTGAAAGCCAGTTAGACCAGACTCTGTACTAAACATTTCTGTTTCCTTGTCTTCTTAAAAATATATCATCTTTCTCTGAATATTATCTGACAATATCACCAATCACCAAGGTTGCCTGAGGTCGGACTGTAAGAGGAACTTCCAAAGCAATACTGAAAGGGATGATCAGAGAGGCAGAGAAATGCCCTTCCTGATGAGGCTTTAGTGGTAGAACTGCCTTCTGTGTGCCTGAGCTGGGTCACGACTCTTGAGCCTGAAGGTGAGGATGGGCACTGTGACCCCAGAGCTTCCCATCAGTTGAGGTCTGGGGTGAGAGGAAAGTGGACAGTCAGAGCCAGAGGTACAAGGTGACAGCCACAAATGTCTCACATCTGTCAACCCCAGAGCCACTGAAAAGCGGTGAGGAAGGCGCTCCTTCAGAAGGTGCTGAACCAGTCTGCCATCTCTTAGCAGCCCCTGGGCCCATCCCCACGCCCCAGGGAGGCTCTTGGGGTCAGGATTTATTCCAAGATCTGAGCTGGTATTTCTGGTGGCCTCAAGGTTTAGGGGCAAGAGTCCAGGGCCAGAGGTCAGGAGCCCTGGCCGCTGGCATTGACTCCACTCCTATACCCTGAATCCCTGTGCAAGCCATTCACCTCCTGGCCTCTGGACCATGCTGCCCAATGGGGAAGGCAAGGACAGATGCTGGGAGATTCGAGGAGATAATATATTCAAAAGTGCTTCACAGAGGAACTTGTTTACTCAAACTTACACTTTTATTTCTAAAGCTTACTAAGTTCTGGCTATGAACTCATTCCAAAAACATGGGCCCAGATTTTCAACATCACCCCCCCTTCTGAAAGGCTGGGAACCTCCTGTGGATGCAGCCACTGACCAGAAGTAGGGCAGTGCTACTTGTGCAGTTTTCTTGAGAGACAATGCGCAATACGGAAAATTCCAGAGCAAGGAGTGGAGGCTATGTTACCTTTGTCAGCGACTAGCTAGGTGGCCATAGTCAACTTACTCAACCCCTAATCTCAGCTTCCACTTCGTGAGAAGCGGGGAGGTGGCCAGCAGCTGTCCACATTACTGTGACCTGGACTTTTTTCAGATACAGCCATGAGGATGCAGCACAGTAGGTGAAAAGAGCTTAGAGTCCCTTGATCTGACCTTTCTCCGAGTGTCCCTAGGCTGTCATAAGAGAAAGCCTCAACCCCCAAGCTCTACATCTTCTGACATTAATATGAAATTTACAGAGTGCCTTCCCATACACTGTCCCAAGTAAGAGCTTTGGGAAGCTAAGCGAGGGTTGAAGGGACAGGATGTCTTGGTCAAGGTCACGAGGATAGAGAGAGGCAGGTAGGCAGTGCTGGAACAGGACCTGCCCAGGCCTCCAGAAGTACTCTATCCACTACAACACGCAACCTCTGAGTGGAAGGTAAGGGTCCTCTAGCCGCCCCAGGAGGGGAAACACAGAGACACACACCCTGAGATGCCAGTCTACGCAGACACCCTGATTGTTGCAAATTCCAGTGCATTGGTAGCAATGTGTTGGGAGAGAGGGCGCAAACTCATCCCATTGCCCTCTCTAAGTCATGGTCCCCAGGACACCTGCTGCCTGGTGACATTCCATTCTTGGCTGCAGGTCCGTTTCCTGGAGCAGAAGAATAAGCTGCTGGAGACCAAGTGGAACTTCATGCAGCAGCAGAGGTGCTGCCAGACCAACATCGAGCCCATATTCGAGGGCTACATCAGCGCCCTTCGGCGGCAGTTGGACTGTGTGTCCGGGGACCGTGTGAGGCTAGAGTCGGAGCTCTCTAGTCTCCAGGATGCCCTGGAGGGCTACAAGAAAAAGTAAGTCCGTGCGGCTTTCAACTCACTGGGAGACCCGGGGCAAGGGACAGAAACGATCTGGGCCTCGGTTCCCCATGTATAAAATGGGAAGCCTAAACTTAATTCATTGGGTGGCAGAACAGCTAGGTGGGATCGTGTCAGCAGGGCGCCCCGCTTGGCACACCGTGGGAGCTCTGAGACTGCGTACTGCCGTCTCCATCCCTGCTACCTTGCTGAAATAAGGCCCTCAGGATCTCTCTCTCTCTGTGTAAAACAAGCTCTTTCGCCTGCAGCTTCTGGAGCTCCAGGTTTCTGCTGAAACTGCCTGTTCTGCCTTTGCAGATCCTGAACTACTTCCTGCTCCACAGACAGATCCCCAGGCCCCTTCCCTCCTGGCTTCTGCTCCTGCTGCTCCTGCCTGACACACCCATCTCAGCATCTCTCTGCACCTCGTCCAAACTACCCCACAGCCCACCTTTCCTCTCACCTGCAACTCCAGCTTCCTGTACCGCCCTCCCACCCCCTCTCTGCATATCAGGTTCTAGCTCCTTCTGCCTCACTTCCCAGTTCTTTGTGGTTCCTGTTTTCTCTTCTGCCACACCTGCTCCCCCTGAGGGCGGGCTCTGGGTCTGATTCACAGCTTGGAGTAGGTGGTTGATAAGCATATGGTAATTAAGTGCTTGCAAGAGGCTGAGGCCCAGATAAATTGTCTAACCAGGTCCTGGGCCCAGTGGCCCATGGGAGTCCAGTGTCCTATGAGAGTCCAGTGTCCCATGACAGCCTGGTGTCCCATGGGAGTCCAGTGTCCCATGAGTGTCCAGTGTCTCATGGGAGTCCAGTGTCTCATGGGAGTCCAGTGTCTCATGGTAGTCCGGTGTCCTATGAGAGTCTGGTGTCCTATAGAGAGTCCTGTGTCCTATGGGAGTCCTGTGTCCTATAGAGAGTCCTGTGTCCTATGGGAGTCCTGTGTCCTATGGGAGTCCTGTGTCCTATGGGAGTCCAGTGTCCTATAGAGAGTCCAGTGTCCCATGGGAGTCCAGTGTCCTATGAGAGTCCCGTGCCCTATGGGAGTGCATATTGGAGGCAGAGAAGTTGAAACAGGTACCTTTCTATTGAAGAGAAACAGTGCAAATACACAGAGCTGAGAACAACAGGCCATAAGTGTGTGGGTCAGTGGAGTGGAGCCACAATGGGGACACTGACTGCAGCTGTCAACCACATACCTACTCAAGGCCAGACACTGTGCTAGGAAGGTGGGTGCTATGGAAAGATAAAAGGCTAGCTCTTTCCCAATCCACAGACCACCTCCACCTACACACAAACAGAGCAGAAGGGAGAGGACTCCCAAGAAAGGTAGAGAGCAGGAGTCCAGGAAGGCGCCATTTGTTCTGGGCCTTGGAGGATAATGGCTCATTCTAATGGCTTCTTATAAAAGGGGAGTCCAGAGTACATCTTGGAAATGGGGAAAATACAGAAATGGGTGACAAGAAAGAGGCAGAGCATGCCAAGTGAGAGGGACAGCTCCAGCAGACTGTGACAGGTGAGATGCAGCGGGGCTGCAGGAGGGGTGGAGCCGGGCCTTGCAGCAGGGGCAATGCCTTTCTTGAGAACTGAGTAGCAAAGTGAGATTAAAAGACATGTTTGCAGCTGAAGAAGGGGACTTTGGCTTTTAAAAGTGAGACAATTGGAGAGGATGAGATCCAACTGGTATTTTAAGAATCCTAGCAAACGCTTTCACAGTACAGACCCTGTGCCAGGCACTGTCCTAGTGCTTTGCAAGTATGAATGCATGTGATGTGTGAGCTCACGGCAGCCCTGTGAGGCAGGACTAGTGTCAGTCTCATTCTGCAGATGATGAAGCCGTGCATGACAAAGCAGAAAGGCCAAGTCACTTACCCAACTTGCCCACAGCTTGCAGGGGACAGAGCCAGGATTCAAACCCAGCAGGGTGGGCTCCAGAGTCCCTGGCCAGTGCTGCAGCAGTTCGGCTGGAAAAAAACAGAGGAGCGCAATGAAGCAGGGAAGCTTTTAACAGATTGATGTTGCTCATCAGACTGAACCCCTGACCAATTCCCTGTGCCTTAGGGGAGTGGTGAGTGGGCTGAGGAGCCCCAAGGAGCTTGAGGAAATAGCCTGGCTGTCTCTGTGGGTCTGGCAAAGTGAGTAATTGCCACCTCTGCAAATGGACCCCAGGTAGAGGCCAGGCTCTGAACCCTGCCAGCAAGGAGGATGCACGGCGTCAGCCAGGAACTCAGTGACTCAGAAAAAACAGCTGTGTCAGCAGCACAGCCTTCTTCCACCTTCCCAGGGGAGGCCACTATGTGAAGCGGACCTCCTCAGCAGCAAGACAGAATGAAGCTAGCCTTAAGGAGGACTTCCCAGAGGACTCATCATGGGCATAGGCTCCAGAGGAATGGGGAGAAGAGTAAACTTGAAAAGTGGCTATGAGAAGCCATGGGACTACTGTTCTATCTCAAGTGGGTGGAGGAGCTAGAGGTGCCAAGACAGGGCTGGATCTGGGGACTCCCCAGGGCATTCACTCGGTGACAGGCAGTCGCCCCCAAAGGCCTGATGCCAAGATCTCTCCCAAAGTCCATAAACCCGACTAAAGCGTTTTTTTCCTGCCCTTTCCATCAGATATGAAGAGGAGCTCGCCTTACGCCCCTGTGTCGAAAATGAGTTTATTGCTTTGAAGAAGGTAAGGAGGATGCTCAGACAGGCAGAGCCCCTGAGCTGGCCCCCCGGCCCCAGGCCACCTAGCCCTGAATTGAGACCAAACGTGTCTGCAGCCCACCCACCCGCAAAAGAGTTTCTCACCCCTCAGACTCCTGTGCCAGCCCCACTGACCCTGACAATGAGGAAGGCTAGCCTCCTCTCCCTCCACCTTGTCCCCGTGCAAAAGGCCAGCCATTGGCCTGGCCTCCACTTCCCCACGCATGTGGGCCAGAGCTGGGTGAAGGTCAGGTCCACCCCTGCCCAGGCAGCTGGAGATAGGACTGATGCCAATGCCAAACCAAAGCAAAAGCTCTGCCACAGCCCCCGGATAGGACAACAACCACGAGGGCTCCTCAGACAGGCAGCCAGGCCTTTCCAGGTCCAGGCTCTGCAGAGCGGACTCTGAGAGGCTGCTGCCAAGGCTCATTTAAGCCTCTGCCCCCTTTGAGAAGCCAGGCCCAGGCCTGGGGCCCTGGCCCTCCTCCCACCTTGGCTCCATCACTCCTTCACTGCCCGTGGGTGTCCGTGAGGAAAGGTGGGCCCCACGCCTTCCCCTTGTAGCCAGCTAGCCTGGGAGGCGGCCCAGCCAGGTCACATTCTGTCCCTGCTCTGCTGCAGGACGTGGACACAGCCTTCCTGATGAAGGCTGACCTGGAGACCAATGCAGAGGCGCTGGTGCAGGAGATTGACTTTCTGAAAGGCCTGTATGAGGAGGTACCCACAGCCCTGCCCTCGGGTGCTTAGTCAGGGCCAGAGCCAAGGGAGCAAGAGGGCAAGAGAGCGGCCGCACAGTGGGTACGTTTCAGGGCAAGCACGGGAAGAGGTTTGTACTAGAGAGACGGATGTCAGGCAGCGAGACTCCCAGAAATTGGATCGTCCAGGCTGTGGCTCACAGGCCCCTCTGGGAAAGTTTCCACCAAGCTCTGGGCAGCTAGAAGGTGGGGACATAGAGTCAGTTGGTGGCTGAAGCCCAGAACAGCCATAGCAGAGTTCTATGTACTCTGCTCTGGGAAGGTCAGAACGGGTTCTCCCCTTCCCCTGCCCTGGACGCTGAGAGAGCTCACTGCTCCTCTCCTGGGCTCTGTCCCCAAGAGACCTGCCTGCTCCTTCCCCTGCCCCCGACACTGTGAGAGCTCACTGCTCCTTGCCTGGTCCCTGTCCCCAGGAGACCTGCCTGCTCAGGTCTCAGATCTCTGAGACCTCAGTCATTGTGAAGATGGACAACAGCCGGGAGCTGGACGTGGACGGCATCATCGCTGAGATCAAGGCACAGTACGACGACATCGCCAGCCGCAGCAAAGCTGAAGCAGAGGCCTGGTACCAGTGCCGGGTGAGGCCCAGGGCCAGGGGAGCAGGGAGACTGGAGAGGTGACAAAGAGACAGGAGAGGGGAGGACCCCCAGACTCCTTCCGCCCAGAAGTGGGTGAGGAGCTAACGAGAGCCATGCCACAGACACAGGGAACCCCATAAAGCCCACCTGCAGCTGTTTCTGCCAGGTCCCAGGCCACATCCCTGCAGAGTACGTGGGAGGGACCCCAGACCTGCCATCAGGGTGCCAGGGCGCCCGGCTGTTTTTACCTGCAGACTCACAGGAAGTGCTCCTGTAGGCAGCGTTCAATAAACACTAATTGGTGATGATGGCAAAGAGGGCTCTAAGCTTCCAGCGTGGGAGGAGGCTAGCAACATGGGGTGGCTTCTAATGGTAGAGCAGAAACAGTGATTAAGATGGCCTCAGACTTCATAATTAGGGGCTTGCTTAGAGGGCAGGGGGGCCCTAGGGTAATTTGGCTTAACAAATATCATCAGCTCAGCCTCTCGTGCCCTACCTGTGAAAGGCACCATGCATGCATACACTCCTTGGTCCACTCATTCAACACTGTGTATTCAGCATCCGCCGCAGTCCTAGAAGCTGGAGACACAGGAGGAAACAGCACAGACACTAGTCCCTGCCTTCCTGTCACTTTCATTCCAGAGACAAGTTGGGGGCCAGGGTGAGGTGGGAGGGGCAGAGGGGCAGACAGTAAACAAGGCATGTAAGTGCAAGGGATGTGTGTTAGACCATGATACCAAGTGCTGGGAAGAAAATAAACCAGGAGAAGGGTAGGGAGGGTTGGAGTGAAGTTTCAAATAGGGTGGCCAGCAGGGACGCGCTTCCCAAACCAAAACAGCAGCTAGCAGGAAGTGGCTGCGAGGGTGGAGCGGCAGGTGAAGGGAGTCTGATGACGGAGGGAACAAACTGTGTCTGCAAACACAAAGGTGTTGTCATTTGATCTAATCTTGAAGGACAAGTAAGATTCAATGGGCAGATGGGGGGAGGATGAGCAGCAGGTGTTAGGACATAGCAGAAAGCGAGGGGCCTAGAGTGCCACGTGCTGTGGAGATCAGGCTGGAGGGGTAGCTTGAGGCCAGGTCACTGCACATCTGCAGGGCTGTGCTAAGTTGTTTGGCTTTGTTCTGAAGGCAGTGGGTGCCAGGGAGTGCCCAGAGTGATGCCCTGCCCATTTTCTGGAGCTCCATGGTGGAAGTATGAAACCCTGATCTGGAGTCAGCTCCTGGAGACCCCATCTGTGGCCCACCCACAGCCAGGTTTCACTCTGGCTGGCCCTTCCTCTGGTTGCCCCTGGCAACCACCATCAGCCAAGTGGGTTCAGACTACAATCGCCCCATTTTCTCATCCTGCTAAGTCAGAATCGTAGAGACAATTCTATTAGTTAAGGATTGCATTTGGCAGTGAGGATCAGAAATGCAAAAAAAACAAAAATGGCTAAAACTGAATTTTTACTTTTTTCTCAGGTAGCTTGAAGTACAAAATAAACTGCCCAGGATAACACAAGGGTTCTGGGTCATCATCAGGGACCTAGCATCCTTCTAGCTCTCCATTCTGCCATCTGTAACATGAAGCTAGGGGCTGGGGGCAGCTCCTGCAGCTGCAAGTGTTAGCACAGCCCCAGAAGCTGGACATCCAGGAGACAGGGCCCCAGCTCCAGGGCCCTGGATGTCACATCCCCACCAGGGCTGAAGACAAAGATGTTCACCCTCACGGTTGTCTCATGTCCCAAGAGAGCTGTAGCGCCTCCAATCTCACAGGCTTATGCCAGGCAGCAAGGAAAACATAGGGGGAAGAAGCCAACGGGGTCATTCTGCTCTTTAAAGAGCTTTCCCAGAAGTCCTACCCAGCCATGGCCATAGATCTCATTGATTGGAGGGCCGAGAAGTATTCTCTTATCTGAGCTCATTGTAACCCTGAATAAAAACAGTTGTTTGGTTCTGGTTTTGTTTTTGTTTTTTCGAGATGGTGTCTTGCTCTGTTGCTCAGGCTGGAATGCAGTGGTGCAATCTCACCTCACTGCAACCTCTGCCTCTCAGGTTCAAGTGAGCCTCCCGCCTCAGCCTCCCAAGTAGCTGGGATTACAAGCATGCACCACCACGCCTGGCTATCTTGTGTATTTTTAGTAGAGATGGGGTTTCACCATGTTGGCCAGGCTGGTCTTGAACTCCTGACCTCAAATGATCTGCCCGAATTGGCCTTCCAAAATGCTGGCATTACAGACGTGAGCCACTGTGCGCAGCCAGTGGTTCTGTTTCAAGAAGAGGAGAATGGATATTTGTTGGGCAACTGCAGACTTTCCCAGTGTAACCAAATAACAAGGGAGCCAAAGAATGTGATTACAGGCTTATCTCTCATTTTGCATTTTCTATATAATATGCTCCCACCCACCATCAGAAAATTCAAAGGCAGTTAATTTTTTAAAACACAAATGCAACCTGTACATGCTATTATTCAGAAATTGGATTTAAAGTGCAAAGGTTTTTTTTTAAAAAAAAAAAAAAGGTGTTACATCTAGGTAGGACATAAATTGCATTTTGTTTTTTATTGTTTTAGGGAAAACATACAAATGTACTCCTCCTGATGGGCACTCCTTGGTCTGTTAGGAAAGCCAGCCTGAGCACAGAAACCCCTTCCAAGGTCCAGAGGCATATCTAAAAGGGAGATAGCCCTTGGGTGAACTTGAGCTCTGGGACAGAGTAAAGGACCAGACACAGAAAGCTAAACGGAAGAGGGGATCTCAGGGGTTGGAGAAGAATTTAACAAGCCTGGAGCTGGGGAAGGGGTGAGATGGGAATCAGGGGCAGCCCACATAGGGACCCCAAATTGCCCACAAGTGGAAGAAGGTCGAGGAGCAGAACAAGTGTGAGAGCCAGAGAGCACCCGAGCTAGGAAGTCACTGGAGGAGAGACTGGAAACGGTGAGAAAGGAGGCTAGGAGATGCCACCGTGCGGGGCCTGGGGCTCTGACCTCTCTGTCCTGGCAGTATGAGGAGCTGAGAGTCACAGCTGGGAACCACTGCGACAACCTCCGTAACCGCAAGAATGAGATCCTGGAAATGAACAAGCTGATCCAGCGGCTGCAGCAGGACATCGAGAATGTCAAAGCCCAGGTGAGGCTGGGGAGGACGTCCTTGCTGCGAGAGCCACCCTAGGCTGACCGGCCGGTGTGCACCGTGCAAGGTGGGTTCAGTCCCTGCTGTGCGTGCCATTGAAGAGGAAATAAACTCGTGCTGCCTTGCTCAAACAGAAGCAAGTCCTTTCTACAAAAGGGCTGAGCCACAGCAGGATGAGCAGCCACAGGAAATAGGTCCCCAACAGAAACGAGGTGACCAGCGTCAAGATGAAAAGCAAGGAGGCTTCACTAGGTGCAAGTATAGAAAAGATACTCTCCACAGCCCCTTCAGACCCAAAGACTGTAATTCTGTGATCCTCACATGCACGGTGGCTCTGAATTGTTCATAAAGTCAGATCCACTCCATTCTCCTAGGGAAGACCAGCTAGGCACTTAAAACCTATTGGCCCCACAGAAATTTCTACTCATACTTAAAATCCCAGCTCTCTTGGAGGTATTTTAGACAGAAAACCTGTCCCAGTTCCCTGGAGGAACCAGATGTCGCAATCCTAGGACGAAGCTCGCAGCAAATGAGAGCCTGGCACGTAGCCACCACTGTGCTCTCTCTGCTCTTCTGGGAGTTGAGATTGGGGCTCTAGAGCCCCCAGTGATGCTTTTCTGTGCCCCTCCCACAGCGTTGCAAACTTGAGGGTGCCATCGCGGAGGCAGAGCAGCAGGGTGAGGCAGCTCTCAACGATGCCAAGTGCAAGCTGGCAGGGCTGGAGGAGGCTCTGCAGAAGGCCAAGCAGGACATGGCCTGCCTGCTCAAGGAGTACCAGGAGGTGATGAACTCCAAGCTGGGCCTGGACATCGAGATCGCCACCTACAGGCGCCTGCTGGAGGGTGAGGAGCACAGGTGAGCTCCTCCAGAAGTGGTCAAAGACAGGCACCAGGTGTGGCCACCACCCAGCCCTCTGGCGGTGGCTGCTAGTATCGCTCTCCCCTGTCCCCCGCCCCAGTCATTGAAAACCCACAGCAGCACATGGCAACAGCTCATAGCTAACGTGGCTCAACTCACAGTGAGGGCAGGAGCGGGGAGATGCTACATTTACCTGCATCTGTTTGATGTACTTACCTGTCTTCTTTTTCATCTCATCCCCAGGCTGTGTGAAGGCATTGGACCTGTGAATATCTGTAAGTAGATGAGCCATTCCCACGGGCTCTGAGGTTTTGGGGGTTGACCAACACAGCACCAGTCAGCCCCCACCATCCCTTCCCAGACCTCTGATGCCTCCCCCACCCCAAGAGAAGAGCTCAGTCTGCTGTGAGCTCTCAGGCTGGTGGAAAGGGCTATCCAGATCTTTTGGGAGTCAGACTGGGAGCAGATTTGTGACACCACGGTCCAAGTGCTTCAGGGCCCAGGGGCCAAAAACAACCACCCTGACAAGAAGATACTTTTCTAGAGGGAGAGGATTTGAAGCAAGCTCAGGAAGGAAGGTCCAGTAGAAACTGAAGAAGGGTGAAGCTGAATCCGGCCTGGCCTTGCCAAGGCTCTGGGGAAAACAGAGAGGTGCCTGGGAACCTTGCAAGCACTTTACATGACTAGGGTGGGGAGACGTGGAAGCTGGAGGCTGAGCAGCAGGTGGGAGGAGTGGCCTGGCTGAGGAGTTTCAGGGCAGTGCACTGACAGCCATGCCACATGGGGCCCTGAACACCCCTTCCTGTTCCCACAGCGGTGAGCAGCTCCAAAGGTGCCATCCTGTACGAGCCATGTGGGGTCAGCACACCTGTCCTTAGCACCAGCGTCCTCAGGGGCAATGGGGGCTGCAGCGTCGCGGGCACCAGTGAGCTGTATGTCCCCTGCGAGCCCCAAGGGCTACCAAGCTGTGGGAGCGGGCGGAGCTCCAGCACAAAGCTAGGGGCTGGGGAAAGCTGCTCCAGTCACAAGCGTTAGCACGGCCCCAGACACTGGACATCCAGGAGACAGGGCCCCAGCCCCATGGCCCTGGGTGTCACACCCCCACCAGGGCTGAAGACAAGGATGTTCCAGGACCCCTCATCCCCGTATTGACTCCACATCCCCCTCCAGTGTTCCCCGATTGGGAACTGAGCTGCCCCTCGGGCCCCTCCTTTCCCTCACCAGTCACCTCCAACTCAGCTGTGTGCAGACCCTCAGCTAGGCCCAGATGGTGGGGACAGAAGGCAGAGAAAGAGAATTCATCGTTCCTAACCCCAGAATGGCAGTAGCCCCCAGAAGGCCAAATGGGCACACCACAGTTCTGCTCTGTGGATCATCCCATGGACAGTTCCCCGCAGAGCCAGCTCCTCGTCCCCGCAGACTCTCTACACTGCCCTTACTTCGGGCTCTCGTGCCCCTAAGAAAAGTGAATTTCCTTTAACACCATCTGAAATGTGCACCACTGCAAATATCAAAAGGAGACACTCCCAGATCCCACTCTGAATTCCAAAGCCAAGTGCCACAATTTCAGGATCAGTCGGGACCCGCCAATGTCCCCTCAGCACAGAGAATCAAGAGGTGGCCTTTGGCCAGTAGATTTACTTTGGCAGGTATGTTGAACCCAAACTATGAAAACAAATCTTTCTCCTGAGCACACATTGGCCGGTGATATCAGGCAAATGCCTAGAACAAAGGGCAAGGGAATATGGAATGTTTACTGGATAGATGGAAAACCAAAAACGAGTATTATTTGCCCGATGGAATCAGTCCCACCTCCACCCAACCCCTTCTGTACATAGCCGCCCCTTCCTGCTCCCCCTTCCTTGAGCTCCTCTTGCTTTGGGTCTGATATGACAGTGATGTGGAGCTGCCCTGCCAACTCGGAGGCCCTGGCTCAGGAGCTTATAGATGGAGGAGGAGCTGTGGGCTGACTCCACCTCCCAGAAGCCCCTCTTGCCAAGCCTGGCCCTCTGGGGTTCCAGGGCCTTTGCTCTGAGCATCTGGGTTTGTCTGATCAAAATAAATCTACTCTGTTCATGGATTATGGAAATCAGCATTATTTACTCTGCTCTGTGGGAAGTGTGATAAGGCTGAGGGGGAGCTGGTGAGCAGCTTCTGGGGACTGGAGGCTTAGGAACAGAAATGAACGTTAGTGTACAAACAGAAACACCCATGTAAATAATTTGCAAATGGCTTGTGAAAGAAATAGGGCTCCATACAAATCACACTTGAAACCTGCCCATCACACCCCAACAGTGTGCAAATCACTTGCCGTGTTAAAACCACAAACCATTTCACACAGGCCTCCTCACTGCATGGTGCCCTACACACAACCTGGAGAAATCCATGGGGTCTTCTATCATGTCTAGACTTAGCAGCCCCAAGCCCTGGGCTCTGTCCCTATCCTGAACCATACTCTGTGCCTGGGCAGCCCCAGCTCCAGGAAAGCAGTGAAGATGGTGGCAGCCCATTGAGTGAGGAGGACCAGGACACTCCAGTCTCCTCTCCCCGTTTAGAGCCCAAGACCTGGAGATCTGGCGGCAGCGCGTCCACCCTCTGTGAGGCCCCAGTCCCCTTTCCTTTGCCTCACTGACCCCCTGAAACCATCTCTCCTGGGGGTGCTTTCCCCGTTAAGGCTCCCCTCTCCTAAGAGTTGGAATGACTCCCTCCTCTCCCCAGAGAACACCCAGGCTGCGCCAAGCCCTGCATGAGAGGCTGGTGATACAGAAATGACTAAGACACCCTCTTAACCCTGGAGGGACGCTCAGCCTCATGGAGTGAGGAGTCGTAAATAATGAGTGCCAAAGAACATGGGAGGCCCAAGAAGCAGCACATGACTGCCTGGAAAGGGTCAGAGACAGGATCACAGGGAACACTGACAGGGGCTGAAGGGAAGTCTAGAGTCAGATCCGTGGACAAGCATAGTCAAGAGTACCCATTCCTTCACTTTCACTTGCTCAGTCAGCATCTCTCAAGCACCTGCTATGTGGCTGGCTACCCAGGGCCTGGAGACTCAGTGGTGAACGAGACAGCCCTGGTCATGGCCAGTTTACCCCGTAAGTGCAGTAGACACCTTACGCAGGGCCGATGGTGGAGAGTGTAAGATGGGGCAGCCACTGTGGAAGACAGCCTGGCAGCTCCTGAGCATGGTACTCACAGAGGTACCATGTGAGTCAGCAATATCACTCATGGGCATACACCCAAGAGAGATAGAAACCTATATCATGCAAAAACATGCACATGAACGGTTATCACAACATTATTCATGATAACTAAAAGGTAGAAACAACGTTGTATAGACATGCCACATTGTCTATCCAAAATAGGGCATACCTCTACAATGGAATCTTCTCGGCCATATAAAGAAGTGGAGTGCTGATGCATGCTGCAGCGTGGATGAACCTTGGAAACCTTGTGCAAAGTGAAAGAAGCCAGTCACAAAAGGCCACCTATTTTATAATTCCATTCGTATGAAAGTCCAGAATACGGGAATTCACAGAAAAAGCAGAGCCATGGCTGCTTAGGGATGGAAGAAGGAGAAGACAGGGCTTAGGGGAATCATGGGAGCCACCACTACAGGTTTCTTAGCGTGATGTGGCAGCTGTGCCTGCAGTCCCAGCTACTTGGGAAGCTGAAGCAGGAGGATCCCTTGAGCCCAGAAGTTCAAGGCTGCAGTGAGCTACGATCGCACCACTGCACTCCAGCCTGGGTGACAGAGCAAGACCTTGTCTCTTAAAAGACCTTTTTTTTTTGGATAAAAAATAAAGATTTCTTTCTGAGGTGATGAAAATGTTCTAAAATTGGCTGTAGTGACGGTTGCACATTCTAAAAGTCATTGACTCCTACATTTCAAATTAATGAATTATACAGTAATAGGGATTATCTCAATAAGGCTATTTTTTTTTTCAGTGGAGCCCTGGGCCAGGCTTGGTGACTCACACCTGTAATCCCAGCACTTTGGGAGGCTGAGGCGGGTGCTTCACAAGGTCAGGAGATCGAGACCATCCTGGCTAACACAGTGAAACCCCGTCTCTACTAAAAATACAAAAAACTAACCAGGTATGATGGCACATGCTTGTAGTCCCAGCTACTTGGGAGGCTGAGGCAAGAGAATCGCTTAAACCCGGGAGGCGGAGGTTACAGCGAGCCAAGGTCGCACCACTGCACTCCAACCTGGGCAACGGAGACAGATTTCATCTCAAAAAACAAAAAGGGGGGTGGGGCCTGGCCCCATGCCTCATGGGCTTACAGCCTACCAGGAAATACAGACCCGACATGCAAAATTACAGCTATGAGGGCTGTTGTGATGGTGGAAGAGCAGAAGGCCACGGGGACAGAACCCAGGGTCCGCCTTAGTCCTGAGGCTCCGGAAGCTCCCAGGAGGAAGCGAGGCAAGTCTGAGCCCTGGAGGCCCGCCGGAGTGTCAGGCATGACACCAGCAGTGGGCTCCAGGCTGGGCATCACAGCTGCCAACTGGGCAAGCAGCACATGCCTGGGGCCTGTGAGTGTGATTCCAGAGCCACACATCCACATGCCGGGAAGGAGAGCAGGAAATGATGGACTGAGAGCCTCGTTCCCACTGGAACCCTCGTCACTCTGGACCTGGCCCTGCAGCCAGCTTCACTCCCTGCTGAGGACTAACTCAGAGCACCCTAGAGCCACAGGGACGCTCTGTCCTGGAGTCAGCAAACACAGATTCCAAGGAGACAGCCCACCCCATCTCACAGATGGCTGTCCCGGGCCCAGGACACAGCCCACCTTGGTGTCAAGACTGAGCTAAGAATGAAGGAGGGAGGGAAGGAAGACTCCCCCATGACTATAGTGAGGCAGACTCGGGGCCTGACGATGACCCTCCTGGGATTTGGTTCCAGAGTGCCAGCGCCCTGATGAGTATCTGCTGGGCAGGAAGGCTGCCTGGAGCCATCCCATAAGCACTGCTCATCCCAGGAGTGCTCGCCCCCGCTCAGCCCTGGACGTGAGCACAGAGACCAGGGCACCCCCTCCAGGACACCCACCAGGGACTCTCCAGTGTTTTACAGCTGTGTCCCCACCCCGCTTTCTCCCCAGGAGAGGAGTATTTCAAAACAGGCAGGACACAGTGCCTCCTGGCGGTGGCTGGGACGTCTTCATTCCATTCAATTCAGCAAATGCCTCCTGAGCGTCTTCCGGGGCCAGCCCTGTGCTGGGTGCTGGGATACAGTTGGAACAGGCCCCGGCCCCCTGCCCTGGGCGAGGAAGAGAACAGTCTGCATGAAGCCAGAGCTTCACTGCACTCGGCTCAGCCTGGAGTCTCCTAACCCCAGCTCTTTCAGAGTGTGGCAGTGAGGACAGGATGGGGAGCAGCCCAGAGCAACCTAGGGAGGCTGTGGGGACATGGAATGGAGCTCCGTGTTCCTGTGTCTGTCTCCACAGAATGTCTCCCATTTCTCCGCCCCCTTCCTCCCGAAGCTCTCAAGTGCTCACCAGAGTTTCTCTCCCTCCCACACAGCCCCTCCTTGCTCCCCTGGCCCCTCCTTGCTCCCCTGGCCCCTCCTTGCTCCCCTGGCCCCTCCTTGCTCCCCTGCCCCCAATGGCCCTTCCTCACAACAGTCACATCTGTGGCCCTAAGTCCACCCACAACTGCCACTCTCCAGTCAGGGTCACCAAGTACCCAGAAAGAATCCTGGCAGGGGCTTGAAATCTAGAAATGGCACCATGAGCAGAGGAGGGGGAGCTTAGGGTCACTGAACCTGGAAGAGGCTGTCCCAGCCACCCTGGCACCTAAGTTCAATGCCAGGCACACATTAGCAACCAATAAAGGTGTGTTAAGCAAACTGAACTAGATGTCTACCACTAGAAACGTTTTCACTCTGGACAGGTGACAGCTGTATGGGCAACGTGAGACATTGGATTAAACCTGAAAAATCATCCTTCCTGGAAGAAGTGTTAGGGGTGGGTAGAAAACAAGAAGAGGGTACTTTATCTCCCCTGGGGAGGTATACTCATCTGAGAGGGGAGAGAGGAGGGGGTACTGGCAAGGGGGGGGCCTAGCCTCTCACACACACCCCTGCCCCCTGACCCGCCCCTGCTGGGGGACTGGCGCTTCCTTTCCCAGCAGGAAGCTCCCAGCAGGAGCAGGTCTCAGCATGAAAACCTCCCCAGCCGGTGACTTTCTCCAGCTCAAACTCGTCCCCAGGCGAAACAGAAGCCCTCTGAAGCCTTCTCAGCATCTGGGCTTCCCCTAACATCCCCCTTCCCACACACACCCACCCAGCCACAGCACAAACAGGATTCCCAGAACCTCCATGCCCAACCAGGATGTCTCCCTCCCTCACACAGCCCTTCCCCTCCCTTTCCTCTGCTCAGCGTTTCTGCCTCCTCCCTGCTCCACAGATAGCATCCTGATGACCCAGCAGCCAGGCACGGTAACGCAGCCATGGAGCCTGGGCTTAGCCCTCAGGTCTCTGGAGTGACACTCAGGCTGGCTGACAACAGCAAGAAGAAACTGTTGCAACAGCAAAACCTCCCACCCAGAGTTGCCAGGGCAACTCCGCCCCCTCTCCCCACCTGCCACCCCTTAAAAAATGACTGAGGGTTGTGTTATGCATCGTCTGGCGAAATAATGCCTCCAAACTGCAAACTGCTGGTGGCGACAGCTCATCACAGAGCAGGGGTTATGCTTGACTGGTCCCAAGTACAATCATCCCCGCCCTACCCAGCCTGATCAGGGTTGAGGGAAGCTGGGACACGGGACAGGAATGGCTAATGGGGTATGAGTGCATCTGTCCCTGGAGTGGGAAGGAGGTGGGTGTGGATGAGAACAGGGATGACTATGTAGAAGTGAGGGGAGGGTTGTGCAAAAGAGAAGGAAAGGGATGGAGGAAAGAGCAAGGGAAAGGAATGGAGAATAGTGGCAGCTGCCAGGCACTGCACAGTGCACATCCCAGGCACTTCCCATGTAATCCTCATCATACTATGAAACAGGGAATATTCCACATTACACATGAGGAAACTGAGGCTTGGAGGTCGAACAATTTCCCCAAGGTCATTGGTATGCGATAGGGCCGGAAGGGAC